TCAATGCACAGAGACCCACAAAAATGTCGAATACAATTTAGAAAACCTTGCACTTGACTTTGTTTTGCAATTTGACTGCTTCACAATTCAACCCTAGCCAAGGAACATGCTGAAAACAGATCAGGGTCAAATGGTGGGAAATCACCTGTACAGTATATAGAATTGCAATGCATTAATGAATTCAAGATAGGTATATTTTGGGTTAATCACAGTAAACTCTTCAAAAATCTTTATAAAATTATTTTTGACAGAATACCCCATTCATTCAAGTACCTCATGTACAATTCAGCCCAAAAATTGGGACCATGAGGTAAGACATAATCATGCATGAACATTCCCTGATAATTTTCAGAAATTTGTTTAGATTATCCTTCATGGTCACATTACAGATAAATCCAAAAAAGGTAACTAAGATCAATGAAAACATTTTCCTGATTTTTGGGCAAATGGTGAACTTTTTTTTTATTCTCAAATTGGAAGCCGTTTTTAATTGTTAACTTGGGAGTTGAGACCCGTGTCTAATACACGGATGAGTTTGAGTGTTGACTTAATTTGGCAGCTCATGTTGAGGATTCAAGCAGAAAAAGAACTCAAGGCAAAGTGAAGGAGGAATAAAAATGCGGAATCCGCCCAGGACAAGGCAGGGAATCTCTGGTCAGATCCCAAAAGAAAAGTGATGAATATATTTCAGATTTTGTACAAGTCCCAAAAAACACACAAGAAATTTATAGAAGTTTTTAAGTTGAATTTTCTGCTCAGCTAAACTCTCAGTTTGCAGGAAGATGCTCCAAGCAATGACTTTTGACAACTGGTGGTGAGTAGGGGTTGAAATCGGGCTTTTATTAATTGTTTGATTTGTTCTAGATTTTTCCTTGATCCAGGATGTGGATCAAGGATGGGGGTTGGTGCCAAGGTGTCTGATTGGCTTGACAAAGTTGAGTTGAAGATGTCTTGGCGCCAGTTTTCAATTTTTTAGGAGGGTTTTTTAGGATTTTTTAGGAAAAGCGAGGGGGTAAAAGTTTGTTAACGTGGATGTCTGTGGCGGTTTCTTCTTCTTGGGTGGTTTTTCCACTCTATTAATTTCTTCTTGTCGCGTTCGAAATCGGTTAAATTTATTTATTATATTAATATTGTATTTGAGTCCCCAACAGCTCACAAATAACCTCCGATTTCAGGAAAATTGGTGATTCAGATATTAATTGAAATGCCATCAATAAAAACATCACACGGAAGCAATACAGTGCATCAGTTTTATCAATGTTTTTCCATCACGGTATCACCTGAAAACAAGACCAGGAGTTGACCAAAGTAAAGTTCTCCTCAGCTTGACTTCTACTAGCCTCTTCAACATCTCTCATCTGCCTCAGCATCAATTCACAGTTTCTCAACTTCTGTCTGACAAGTTTCAGTGTTGAATCCCTCAGCTTCTGCCTGTTTCCTTCATCCACAGCAGAAATCCTGTTTATAATACAATTACAAAGGTATTGAAAATTCTGGAGGAACAGTATCAAAAGTCAAGGAAGGAGACAAACGAGGCATTGTTCAGAGCATTTGCCAAACCGAGCAGAGTTTGATATTCGCCAGCTGAAGTGACACTGATTCCCAGGGTTGCCACCGTCTTCACATTAACAGCAGATGCGTCGAAACAAAAATCAAATATGACACCTTTTGGTTGCTTCACCGTGAAAGACAATAAACCGTGTTTCCGTTCTGTTTCCTTGTGAATAATCGTTGCTGCTCTTCTTGGTTCATCTGGATCACCTGAAGTGTTTTTGGAGGTGTGAAATTCCAAAAGTTAGAAAAGCGAGGCATTATTTGTGCCTCAAAAATTTGAATTTTCGGTATTACGCGAGTCTGTTTCTCGAGAAGGGGAGGTCTAATATTTCTTCTCACGTTTCAGTCATCAATTTGATCTTTTTGAACAATTTCTACTCTGAGTCAGGTTTATTCGAACTAACTTCAATAAACGTTTGAAAATCTCTCCAAGAAACATTTTTCAATATCTGGAAAACCAGAAAACTACGATGAGGTACAGTACAATTCAATTTTTACATGAGCGTTTCTCATGCGAGCGAATTTTAAACAATCAAAGCATATTAAAAAAAATGCAAGAAGGTTCAATGATATTATGAAAATATAATTGAACTTTCTAATATCTGTACAATCTGATTGATTCATCATTTTTCTGCCCAGCCAAAAGAGCTAGAGCGGTAGAGCCTTGAAAGAAAGTTCACAGCGTCATATTTGCAATTATATTAAAAATTTTGCATCCAAAAAGTTCCCCTGCGTGCGGCTTTCATGTTAACTCTTTTTGGCAAAAATTTCTCTCCAAGAAAAGTAAATTTTCTGTTTCTTTTTTTTCATTCCCCATGCTGGGTTTCCTGTATTTCATCCCGTCACATCCCCGTTTCAGCATTGATCCGAACACTTTGAAAAGTTTCTTGAAATTCTCAAATCGGACATCCGAAAATTTTGACATGTATCCGGTCGCAGTTTGTGAACCGTAATTGCGTCAGAAGCTAATCTCGGTCCGACTCTATGTCTAATTACTAATTTAGTAAGGGGATGGAATGAACTTGTAAAAACCAGTGTGACGGGATATCAACAATAGGTCATTGACACTAACCGTATTGTTCCACGACGTAGAATTCGTAGAAAAGTTGCCGGGAATAAGTTTCGGGTGCGAAGTGGAAGTAAACGTCGATTGAATCCCCGAAGGTGAACCGGTCATGGAAACAAAAATGGTCCCAGGGTTTTAACTCAATCGACAGTCGTTTAGCTGCGGAATCTCCATCAACCTGAAGGAGGATCAGCCCAAGAAGAAAAATTTCCCTTAACATGGTTCTTAGAAATGAAGAATAATTCTCTTGGCAGCAGTGGAACCTTCATGGAGTCCAGAAACTTGAAGAATCCTCCTTGCTGGGATTCTTTCAACTCATTCAGGTTAAAACAACGACAAAGACATCAACCTTTATAGTTAGGCCAAAAAAATAATGGGGAGAAAATTGGATTAGATAAAATCAACTGCAGGGTTTGATTTGGAAATCTGCTGAAATGTTTGTAGAGAACTCCAAGTTCCAATTTGAAACGCTCTATACGCATTATTATACAGCTTCTTTTTACTGATGCTTTTCTGACAGTAGCTCTAGCTATTCTGATAGCTGATCAACATGATCAGGACTATGAGAGATGCGGTTTTACATTCTTCAAATGCTTGTGGAAAATGTTCTGCTTTCTTCTCCTTGACCCATTAACTGCCAGAATTTCCTCAACCTTGTCTTTGCCTGATTCCACTTCACTATTACCTGCATAAACCAAAAGTGAATGTAGTCTTTCACACTTGCACTGGTGCATTCAATCCAGGAAGTGGTGGCACAATGCAAATTATGAGCTACCTTGTGTGTTTGACAGTGTTGATGTGCTTGGGACTTGCTGGCAGCTAAGCCCAGACTGTTGCTGCTGTTGAAAATGTGTGAAAGCATGGATAACTCATAGTGCAATTCCCAGTTATTATGGAGATAATTTTTGCGCAAGTATTTGATTTCAAATACCTGACTAAGTTAAATTATTTTCAAAACATGGCCTGACTTTAGAACAATGCATTAACACTCTCCCTAACTTTATGGCTTTCCCTCTCAAATCTCCATACCTTGAATTTTCTCAAGTGATTTGGCTACTTTCTTTCTACACTGGAATCAGAAAAGCAAGGCACTAATCCTTCCGCCACACCAGGTTCTTTCCCATTGCGGGACAAAGTATGGATTTTCTGGGGTGGGCCCTGGTTTAAATTTTATTGAAGGCCATGACAGCCAATCCAGGTGGCCTTGGGCAAAGTCGGACTTTGTCTGGCAAAAATGTGTTGTTGTGATTTCCGGAAGTTGGACTTTTTCCACTAATCTTTTGTGGCCTCCAAATGGGAACCCTTCTTCTGGTGCCCAAAATGAAAGGGCCAAGAATCTGAAAATAATAAAACTAATCTGGGGATGAGATGAAAAAAAGCTCAGCCTTGGAGATGGCTTTTTTTTCATTTTTGGGCAAAATTTTTCTGCAGAATGTAAAAAATACGCCAGGATTAATCCACACTTCACCCTGGATGCACTGTTATGATTTGTTTTAAAGCTTCTCTTACTGACACCAAATTTTTTGGAAAAAGTCTGCCTTTGCCGCCCAAGGGTTAAGTGAATATGCTTTGATAGGAAGTGAAGGACTAATTTGGCAAATGCACCCATGCCTTCAAGTTCAGCATGCTGGAAACTCAGTTTAGAAGTAATTTAATTGGGGAAAAGATCAGGAAGATGCTCTTGATCTATTTAAACTATTCTAAATGACAGCACCTACATTTTCCTTAACTGACTTTTCAAAAGAATTTATTCTAATGCCTTTTCTATTACCATTGGTGCAGTTATAACAAAAAAAGGAAGGAAAGAAAGGGGTTGCATTTCTAGAACATTCAATTCAGCGAAAAGACAGTATCAAAACATGGATAAAAAAATTTTAGCAGTTCATTATGGTTACAAAGGAATCATTCATTTTATGGGGATATCCATTTGTAGTAAAGACTGACCACATTAAAATCCCTTATTCATATAGGCAGAGTGACAATGACAACCACCAAGCCATTCAAAGCCTCAGACAGCAGAGAGTGTCCCGGGTCAAACAGATGTTGCCAGCGGACACAGAACTTAGTTTGGAGCAACTAGATGTTGCCCCGAGCAACTTGGGTACAGTAAAGGCACAGCAGAGGTACAGCAGACGACGTGGCGTACAAAACTCCCCGTTGTCCCCATTATTTTTGGGAGAAATTCAAACCTGAAAGAAAAAGGATTTATCACACAGAAATGTCTGTGCTGTGTTAACCTAGATACTCTATACTTGTTGCAGGTTCTCTATATACGGAAATTACCCAT